AAACTGCCTAACTTCTTAAGAGATGAGATTTTCAGTGACCATGCCAAACAAAAAAAATTTTGAACAGATATCTAACACATATGCTGTGCAAGTAGCAAGGCTTACCATAGTAACAACACTACCTATCATTTAATGCAAGTAAAGCTTGAAACAGAAGAACCTTCCTATATAAACACCTTAAAAATGAAGAAGCCATCCTCACAAATATACTGAGACAAAGAAAAACATCTTGACTGCCTTATACTTGTGCATCTTTACTCTAGGTTTTCCTCTTCCAATAAAAAAAGTATCATGCTATTAAATTACAATAATGAAGCTGCTAAATACTAATATACGTGCTTCATAAGCACAAAGCCTGAAATGTGTTCCTTAGATGGAAAGACTAAACATTAAAGGGCCAAAAACAATGCTGAAATTGTATATAAACAACTTTTTTTTGAGGGGGGGGCAAACAAAGACACTTACCAAACTTAAAAGACCCAGGGTGGGAGAGGATGGCATATATGGCATTTTTACAAGTTTGAGAATCTGAGTTCTGTCCTCAAAACTCATTGGGCATGGTGTGTACTTGCAATTCCAGCTCTGACTAGGCAAAGACAGAAAGAATCCTGAGATTTAATGGAAAGCCAATCTAGCCTAACTGCTGAGTTTCAAACCAATGAGAGTCTCCGTCCACATTCCTAGAGTTGACACCTTTAGTTGTTCTCTGGCCTGCCCACACACAGGAACCTGTATGAACACACAAATGCACACAGACACAGAGACTCATTTTTTTTTTTTTAATTGTGAAAGAATAATGTAGAAGAACCCACAGATAACTACATTTGGGAAAGCTGGCATTTACTATACAATCTTTCAACTAAAAAAGCCTACAAAATGAGATTTAAAATGATTTGGAAATAAACTGTGTAAATACCCACAACTTGGTCAAAGAAGTAGATTATGCTATCATGATTCATGAACTCTCAACTTTTGAGAAAGTTAGCAGGTTTCCTGCAACTTTCTTTTCGAGAATGGACATCTGTAGACCTTTCTTAATAACTGAGGGAACATAAAGTTTATAAAATATTAGAATGTGTTACATGTTTTATCTGATACATGCTATTCCAGTGGGATGAAAACCATTTACAAGCTCCATTTAGATTAAAAAATCCTTTGGGATATGTATGTAGTACATTCTAGTTATACTGTTTCTAGAACAGCAAAAACCTCTATAACCTATTTCCCTAATGTTTTCGTTTCAAAATCAACTGAGTTCACTATAACTTCCTTCACAAAAAGTCAAGGCAATATTATAAGTAGCAACAGAACTACTTGAATTTTCAGGAGACTGAAGCTTTCACAAATTTAACCTAACTCACAGTCTACAAAAACAATAACACAGTTCACTCAAGAATTACTTACAGTCACTCACACACACACACACACACACACACACACACACACACAAATCTATAAAATGAAGAGCACAGCCTCATTTTAAAAGAGTAGAGAGGAAGAAAAAGAAACACTTCTAAAGCCAAACTGCTTAAATGAATTGTTTGCTTTCTCTTAAGACACAAAATTCTTTTTACAATAACACTCTCCTGAAAGCTACTGTCTAGCATGCAGGAGGTTCCACAGTCTAGCCTACTACCATACAAATAAATAAGTAAAACTCCCCTAGTGCTAAGAATTCATCCTTAGGCAATACCTTCTGTCCTTACGAAGTACTGAGTTGTCCAGTACTGGTTACATGGCCGCTCACTCCTGTAATTCCAGCCTAAGGAAGCTGAAGCAGGATGACTGTTCTATGCTTAAAGGCCAGCTTATTCTACATAGTCAGTTGCAGGACAGCCTGAGCTACAGTTAAGACCTTATTTCAGAACAACAAAAACAAAGTAATGGGTTGCACACTATCCCTATATCCATTTAGAAGAAAAGTGACACGGATCACAAAACAGCTTTATTTTTTATTTTGCTGTTTGAGTATCTCTCTTAATCCTAATCAAATTAAAAGTTTATCTATGCAACTTTCAGAAAAATTATATGGTAAGCCAACTTTAACTCATGCTTAAAAATCTTATACAAACAATCTATTCATTTGAAGACTTCAACTATTCAATTTGATAGAAAGAATTCTAAATTATCAAAGAAAGTCATCAAGTATAAAGCCACCATGTTGAAAATGCTACAAATAAAAACTACACAAAAATACTTATAAATTTTAGTTTACTTCCTCGTATCAATGTGTCCAAGAACTTTTTACATCTTCTCTAGACATCCTAAAGATCCCTAAGTAAATTCACTTTTATTTCAAAAGACTAGAAGCAAGAATTTGATGACCCCAAAGGAGAAGGAAAACTTAAGATATTAAGTAAGCAAATACCTTTATGACAGAAAAAAAAAGTATTAAAAACCATTCACTCCCTTCTACCAAACAGTCCTCTCAGAATTGCTGCTTACAATTCAGCCAAGTACAACTGCCAAGAGTACCCAGACAAAACTGTTCAGAGTGGCAAGCTTTCTACCAGCATCTACCTACTCTTTACTTGGAGTTAAAGACAAGTTATTGATAAGCTAAATGGAAAGTATTATTTCCTTTTTAACTTCAAAGTATCGATAAAGACAAGGTTTTCTACAGAAGTTGCTTCCAACTCTACAAGACTACGGATTAAAAAAAAAAAAAAAAGATTACGGATTTACTCAGTCTTGCCAAACATGGCTTAAATGGCTAAAAGGAACAAAGGAGCTTTGGCCAGAAGTTGAAGGGCACACTTACCACTTAGGACGAAGAGGCAGGCAGCTGTCTACAAGTTCAAGGCCAGCCTGATCTACACCACCACTGGTCAGAGTTACTACAGAAAGACCCTGCCTAAGACCGGCATGGGTGTGTCTTTAATTCCAGCACTCAGGGAGGCAGAGGCAGGCAGAGACAGGCAGGCAGGCAGGCAGGCAGGCGATCGATTGCTGAGTTTGAGGCCAGCTAGGTCTAACAAAGAGACAGGACAGGACAGCCAAGTTGAACCCCTTCCCTCAAAACAAAAGGGGGGGGGGAAGAAGCTTTATGAACAGCTCTTCTAACCTTAGCTTATATTTTAAAGATTTTTTTTCACAATAACTGAATATAACATCAAATATAAGAATATTCATTTTACAGGTAAAGTATGTAAAACTTAGAATTACTCAGTAATGTGCAGAAGTGACTAGAGGAACTGTATTTGTATTTATACTTAAGCTGTTATCGTTTTTCCCAATATGAGACATATTGCATCATGAGATTGTTACTGTGATTTTAAATATTTTTACATATATATAAAAAACACAATATCTTATGTTCAAAGTTGACATGTGTGTATCTGACCTACATAACCCTACTTGCTTTTCTGACAATTCTTTATTCTAATATGGTGTATTATAGCAAAGGTTCTGACTTCTAGTTATACAAACTAGTACATTTCAATTCTGCTTTTACTAAACAGAGGCCCTGAACCAGCCCTTGCTTTTGGGTTTCTAATTCTTACTACAAGTAATAACAACCTAAGTACCCTTGAAAGCATGCATATGTACAGCTCTGTGACTTCTTTTCTCAGCCCCCTTCTTTTCTATGAAAAAAAAAAAAAAAAGGAATTTAAGTTTACCCCAGAATATAAACTTCTCTTCTGCATGCATGTGTTTAACTTATTCTGATAATTCCTATCCTAGAAATGTCAAAAGAGAGAACTTCCCAGATCAAAAGAGGAAAGAAAAAAAAAAGTCAATTTTACAGTAGCCAACAGGAAATCTCCACCCAAATCACAAGTATTATCAATTAACATAAATATCAATATAATGGAGCCAATAATCGATATAAAAGGAATCTGTAACCCACATATAATCAAAATGCCATTTGTATTTGCATGTGGTGTTCACGGATGAATTCTGTGTGTGTGTGCCAGATTCATCTTGTTTTGAAATGCTAAGCTGATCTTTATGGGTATAATCAGAAACAACATCAAGTGTCCTGAGGAAAGGGAATTCAGGAGAATGCTGAGGAGCATGCAGAAGGTCGAAAATGAAAAAGATGGGTAAAATGCCAGGGTCCAACAGATCGACTGAGCAACAAAAAGATCATGAAATGCAAACTATTCCTTTCCTGAGTAGCCTGAAGAGATCTTTTCTCTTAACGTTAATAGTATCCTACCTCACTTCATTCACTTCCCAACTTCCTTCACTTTTCAAGGTACAACACGGGGCATCTCCCCTTTTCTGGAAGTGTGTGCTGAAAGAATCTGCATAGGAAAGCGGGGAGGAACCGACAATTCTCAAGAAGGTTGAGAAACAGGTGGGTTACACGGAGCAACGGGGCAGCAACATGATTTAGATACTCACGGGGTGGCTTTAAGATGACAGATGTGGTTAAAGGAGACTGCACGTCGGATTCAGCTCGGGTCTGGCAGACAGACTGGGGACTGATTGCAAGCACTAGAGGGGCAGAGGCTAGATCCTGAGCGGCATTAGTGGAGGGGGGTGCAAACAAACAAACAAACAAACAAAAAGCAAAAACCCAAGCACCAAGCAGGACAGATGGGCAATGAGCAGCAGCACCCGTTAGAGTGGAAGTGATGGCTCTGGCTTGGGAGACCGTGGCCAGTAGGAAAGGACGTCAGAGGGGAAAGGGGGCTGGGGAAACAAGAAGGACCGAGTCCCAAGGAGACTGTTGCCAGAAAAAATGCGGGGGAAAGCTGGGGATGGGAAGCCCTCTTGGGTTCCCAATTGGAGAAATTTCTTGGAGGAGAGCTGGCGCTCGCCGCCGCGCTACCTCCAGCCCGGCTGCCTTTTCCTGGTGGTAACTGCTGTGGCGTAGAGGGGAGAGGGAGGAAGAGGAGGAGGAGGCAGTCGGAGGAGGAGGAGGAGGGTGAAGACGAGGCGGGGGGTGGGGAAAAAGGGGGGTGCGGCCTGCACAGTCCCAGCGAAGCCTCCGCTCTCTCGTAGCCGGTAAGACCCGGGTTTCCCCTAAGCCCAGCCCCGCAGACACTCACCCGCCTGCCTTGCCTCGCTTTTCTCTTAGCCGACTCCACGCGCTGCCGAGTCCTCACAGGAGACCAATGAACGAGAGTCGGCGAAAAAACTCTTCAGAACCGGGCCTGACTGCTTCAGCGAGTCCGACCTTTACGGCTGAGAGAGACTCTCAGCTTTCGGTGGGTTCCACAGCTAGACGGGCCACCATCTTACATTAGGGTAAGACTCCTCCAGCCTCCGGTGCGCAGGCGCATGCCGATCCGGCTGGGAAGGGCGGGGGAGGGGCGGGACGAGCGGCAGGCGGCCGAGTGGGAGGTTGCGGCGGACTGGTCCGCTGCACTCTGGGAGTTGTAGTCCTCGGATAGTAACCGCCCCGGGGCAGGCCGGGAATTGAAGTCATCACTAGAGAGGGCGCTCGGGAGCTCGTACCTCACGTGGCCACTGGAGCGCCTGCTTTCTTCTTGTTTTGCTTCCTCCTTTGGCCGCGTGTGTGGCTACAGTGTCATGTGGTCAGCGGTTTTCATTAATGTTTGCTGAACTGTAGGAATCCAAAGCTCTAAGAAACTTAACTGATTTTCAGGGAGCGAGCACATGTCTTCTCTGCTCCGACCTCCATAGATGTATCTACCGGGGAGTTACGGAAGTAGAATCAGGTTGAGGATTGCGGGATTTGGTCTAGAGTGGGAATTTGATACTGTTTGGGAACGTGAGCGTTAATTCGTTTCCCGGTCTTTGCGCGTCCTGACACCAGCACGATTGTTCTCATCCTTACGGTAAAATTGCCAGCGAAGAAATACCTGAATTGCCAGGTGCACATTTCTCAGGAGAACTCGTGCTACTTACTGCTCATGTGAACAGCATGCGGACTTCACTGCGAACTATTGTTGGCTGCGATCCAGCATGCATAAATGTGTCGTAAGGTTCTCAGCCTGCACAAATAAACATGTCCCGAAGGACGTAATGCAACCGCAGCCGGTTCGAGCACCAAGAAATCCTAAATAGCAAAATCAATCCATTTACTGGACTTCCCAGGTTGCCTACTAGAACTCTGGTGTAAGTGGCGCTCCCAGAGCGGTCCATTCTGCTTATTGCCTGTATTCACCTAGTCGTACAAATAGTGAGCTCCTCCTTGATACCCAGTTCTGTGCCATAGGCTGAGAACATACGACAGAGGGCAAAACACAGATCTGTCCCCATTCTACTGTGTGTGCACGTGTTGGGGTTTGGAGAAGGAAACAAGTTTTCAAATCCATGATGAAAATAAGCCTTTAATCCCAGCACTCTGGAGGCAGAAGTAGGTGGATCTCTGTGAGTTCCAGGCTACCCTGGTCTACAAAACAAGTCCAGGACAGCCAGGGCTACACAGAGAAACCCTTCTCAGAAAGATAAAAATAAAATATATGGGATGGGACTGGGTGTAGCACAGTGGTGGATCGCTTGTCTGGAACATTTGAGGCCTGAAAGCAAAAGGCTGAGGGGAGGATTTAAAACAGAAAAGGGAAACATACGGAAAGATGAGAAACCCTCATTTTTTAAATTATTTTTCTCTCCTTCTGTTTTCACTCAAGCTGAGCCGATTTTAGTAAAGAATTAGTTTGTGATAATTCATACTTACCTCAATTTGAAGTTACAAAAATCATAAAACAGTTACCTGAAAAGAAGCTTGAATATCATTTTCATTCATCTTTAGGTAATTAAATGCCTAAATATTTCCATAGAGGTGGCTTGAATATTTTAAAAATCTGATCATATATATAATTTTATAATTTTATACTGGGTAAGCAAAGTAGTGAAGTGAACAAATAAGTTTTTTTTTTTTAATTTTAAATGATATCTCCTTATGTAACTCAGACTGGCCTTGAACTTGGCATTCTCCTGCATCAGCCTCCCTAATACTTGAGTTGCAGGCATGTGCTGCCATGCCCAGCCACATTTTTTCCATTTTTGAAGACTAAAGTCAGTAAGAACTGTTCACAGTAAGGACATTTCTTAGGAATTAGCTGCCTGTGCAAGTCTTGGGTGACTTCCTTGGAAGGAAGGGTCCAGGGTTTGGGTGATGTAGCTCACACTTTTAATCCCTGCACTCAGAGGCTGATGGCTCTCTGTGAATTCTGTAAGTTCAAGGTCTTATAGCAAGTTCCAAGCCAGGCAGAATTACATAGGAATCGAAATCTTGGACTCAAAGTAAAAAAGTTAAAGCCTAGGGCCATAGCTAAGTGGTGCAAAGCCCTGAGCTCAATCGTCAGAGCTAAAAATAAACAGTTACAAGGTGATGTACAGTAAAAGCATCTGTATTTTTATAAACATGATTGTTTTAAAAAATGTAATACATTCATCATTTGCTACCACTTAGAACAAAATCCTCATGTATGTGAAAGCTATACATACTAACTGACATGGATGTGGTTTTGTCCATCTGGTGACAACACCCATTTATTCTTATTTACACCATTAGATGCCTAATGTATTGATTATTTGTTAGAACTAAAAACACAAACAACTTTGTGTTCCTTGTTTTGTGTGAAACAAGTTAGACCTTGGATAATTAGATGTAAATTATATTCAGATAATCATAAACAAGTGTTTCACCTGTGGTGGGACATTTAAAAGTCACAAGGGACATGAAATTATGAAGGACAGTTCCCCCATTTTTGCAGGAGGGATAGCACACCAGGCTCTTGGACAATGAGGGCCAGCAGTACTGCCCAGAGTACCCAGCACTAGGAAGCAGTCTCCCTTTTTTGTTGCTGTTTTGTTTTTTGAGACAGTTTATCTGTGTAGACCAGACTAGCCTTGAACTCAGAGATTTTGCTGCCTCTGCCTCCCAAGTTTTGGGACTAAAGGTGTGCACCACCACTAGCAGGCACAATATCATTTCTATTCCTTCGTTGATAGAGACTAACAGAAAGTGACAATTGAACTACTAACTAGTAAGAGTCACTATTCTTTCAGGCCAGTTCTTTTACTACATTAATAACCAAAATTTACATATTAATATTTATGTATAACATTGTTTCCTGTACACTTCTCAATGTAACAATTCTTTAAAATGCAGGAAAAAATGTTTCTTTTTGTTTGGTTTTTCAAGACAGGGATTCTGTCCTGGACTGGCTTTATAGACCAGGCTGGCCTATGACTCCACCAGCCACTGTCTCTCAAGTGTGCCACCACACCCAGCTCAGAAATATTTTTTAACTTATTTTTATATTTTATTATTTCTACCTATGTCTGTGTGTGTAGTTCTGGGTATGAGTATGTGCATGTGACTGCCACTGCCTGAGGAGGCCTGAGCTGGCAGATGACCCTGGGCTGGAATGACAATTGGCTGTGATCAGCCCAATGTAAGTGCTTGCAATGAACCTGGGTCTTCGGAAGAATGGTTTATGCCCTTAGCTACTGAGCCAATTCTTCAACCCCAGGAAAACATTTCTATAAAATCACAGAAAAAAATCACAGGATTCATCCACATCAAATATGTAATGTGTAGTTAGTTATTCCAGAGGATTGTGATTGAAAGGGGAAGGAGGGGAGAACTTAACTTTCTTCATAAATTGCTGCATTGATTTATGGCTGTGTATATGAATCACTTTTATACATTTTCAAAAATAGATCACTGTTGTATTGAGAATGGACTGGAGAAAGACAAGAATGAAATTGGAACAATTTCAGTCATCAAAATAGTTACTCTGATCATAAGGGACAGCAAGTACATAAAAAGGTAATAAATACATTCTTTGATGTTGAATTAGCAGGACTGGGTTATAAAGTAAAAGTGAAGGAGTTCTTACAGGCCTTGTAGATGGGGGCTCCTTTGGTTGAAGAAGACAATAGAAATAGCATGTATGAAATATAGGAGGCCAACTTCATGGGAAAATCAGGACTTCAGAAGAATAGTAACTGCCCAATGAACCTGTTAAACTTGTTGTTTTTTTAAACTTTGTGTGTGTGCATGCTCATAATTGCTGGTTTTGCAGTTTTGTAAATTACTCATATGTATATTTTAAATAAATCAAAATTTAATTTAGGATATAGTTTCAGATATGAACCTTACTTCATGCAAAGACGTGATTGCACTAGAGTTGGACTGTGGGAGCAGTAATCACTTGGCATTCATGAGGTGCTATATTTGATTTCTAGTCCTGAAAGGAAAATGAGATTGCTTCAGTATTAATAAATACTACTGTCACATTATTTGTGGGTGTTTATTTTTTCCAAACCCTGCTAACTGTGGGTTTTATTGTTATTTGTCTTAATCATTTAGTGTGTATTTCAGTGTTGAAGGTTGGTTAAAGATGTTGATATGCAAAGTTATCTTAGGATTTGAAAGCAGAGAGAGAGAACAAGTAAAATAACTGGAAAATTATTAGCTTTTTGTCAAAGTATTAGGAAGACAAAAATAAAGTGTAGTTTCTTTTTGTTTTGTTTTGTTTTCAAGACAGCATTTCTCTGTGTAGCTTTGTAGACCAGGCTGGCCTTGAACTCACAGAGATCTGCCCACCTCTATCTCCCTGAGTGCTGGGATTACACTCACCACTGCGCCCAGCTTAAAAGTACAGTTTCAAAGCTCCTGGGCTGGGTTATGTTAAACAGTAGAGCTTCTCTAAAGAGATGACTTAATTTAAAGCATTAGAGACACTGCTCCCTTTTTTGTTTTAAACGACTCATGCCAAGACCTTAATGCCAAGATATCCTTAGCCTATTCCAGAGATGGAAAGTCAACCAACCAAGTCGGTGCAAAGGCAAACAGGAAGGAAGTCAGAAAAGATTCAGACTTGGATGAAGTCTAGATTTATTTCCAAGGGCATAGGGGACTATTGAACAATAAAGTACAGGAGTGACATGACTGCATTTATCTTACCAAAATACTGCTGGTTTTGCTAGGGGAGGGGTAGGAAGGCAGAGGTAGAGGCAGGTGGATCTTTGTGAATTCAAGGCCAGCATAGTCTATAAAGAGTGCCAGGACTACATTGTGAGGCCTTGTCTCAAAAAAAAAAAAAACTTACACACACACACAAACACACACCATGTGGAGGATGGGTCTGAAATGCTTGGCAACTGTAGGAGCAGAGAGACTAGTTAGGAAGCTATTGCAGAAGTGCAACATGGTGCCATGGTGTAGTTTGATCCAGGGGAGGACTAGGGTAGGACTAAGTGGGACCTGGAGAAGTGACACATTTGTTCTGGGTACAGAATTTAGGTGATAACCAAAAAGATCTCAGTTGTC